CTAGATAACTGGGATCTTCTAAAAATCAAACACCTATGCTCTTCAAAAGACTTCACCAAAAGAGTAAAAAGAGATTTAAAAAAAAAATAAAAAATAAAACCTAAAGAAAAAATTTATAACAAAAACTGTTAAATACTTAGGAATCAACATCACAAAAACTCAGAATATCTGTATGGAAAAGACTACAAACTAAATTAAAGGAAATTAAAAACCTAAATAAAAGAAGACAGGAAGGTTCAAAATCTTAAAATTGCAATTCTCCCCCTAACTAATTTCAGTTAAACCTCAAAAAAGTTTTTCTAGTCACCCAACAAGCTGATTCTAAAGTTTTATAAAACAGAAATCCAAGAACAGCTGAGACTCAAGTCCCTCCAGGTATCAAGATTTCTTATAAAGCTAAAAGCATTAATAATTAAGGCAGTGTGGTATCAAGTCAGTTTTGACTCATCACGACCCCATGTGACCAAGCAGAAATGCCCCATAGGGTTTTCTAGGCTGTAATCTTTATGAGGACAGATGGACAGGTCTTTCTCCCACAGAGCTGCTGGATGGGTTCGAACCACCAACCATTCCGTTAACAGCTGAGCACATTAGCTGTCTGCACCACCTAGCAATTTCTTTTGACTCACAAACCAAACCCATTGCCTTCGAGTCGATTCTGACGCATAGTCATGATTCTGACTCATAGTGACCCTATAGGACAGAGTAGTTTCTAAGGAGCACCTGGTGGATTTGAACTGCCCACTCTTTGGTTAGCAGCCGTAGCACTTAACCACTATGCCACCAGGGTTTCCTTTGTTCAAAAACTCTCCCCAAAGGCTTTTAAAACTTACATACCCCTGCACACATTTAAATGATATTTGAGAGACTTCAGTATAAGTTTAAATAGCTGCAAAGGATGAATTTCTGAAGTATCATGGTGACATTCTGAAATAAAACTGATGTATCATTCTTCTAAATGTATGTCATTATAATTATTAGTATACAGTTGATCATAACTATATACTTTGAAAATTAAACATAAAAGGTGAAATCTTATTGGAAATGTATCTCTTGAGGAGACAATGGGGGAGATGCCTGGATTGGAACAATATCCTGGTAACATTACATGTGGGTGAGGGGAAGGCTACTGTGAAAGAGAATGAGAAAGGAAAAAGAGCAGGCAGCCTGTACCACAGGCCTCAGGCATTATCAATTTTAGGAAAGCAGCCCCCAAAACCCATTGCTGTCAAGTCCACTCTAACTCATAGTGATCCTACAGGACAGAGAAGAACTGCCCCCATATGGTTTCCAAGGAGTGGCTGGTGGATTTGAACTGCTGACCTTTAGGTTAGCAGCCGAGCTCTTACCCACTACACCATGACGGCTCCTAGAAAAGAACACATATGAAGTTTAAGGATCTAGAAA